TGTCCAGGTTCTGAATGTCCAGGTCCTGAATGTCCATCAGCGGGCTAAGCTGTAAAGTTGCTTTTCCTCGGAGGTTCATAACCACCCTCTCTCTTGGCGTCTGCCCTTCCTCCCTCCCCTCCACCATATTCCTTTTCTTTCACACAGGGGGGGGAAAGAGAAACAGGTTGGTGAAATGCGCGGTCTGACGGAATGTAATAATACCCACGACCTGCGAACACACACTTCCTTGTGTAAGTTCAAAAAGGGACTGAGGTCAAAGGTCAAGGTTGACGAGGAGGATAAGGGACGAGTCCTTCTGATGGGTTTAGGATATTATGGGCCCATTGGCTAATGTCACACTGGACTTCTTCAACAGGGCCTATGCTTATCTCTGTTTACAGTGGGGGGAAAAAGTATTTAGTCAGCCACCAATTGTGCAAGTTCTCCCACTTAAAAAGATGAGAGAGGCCTGTAATTTTCATCATAGGTACACGTCAACTATGACAGACAAAATTAGAAAAAAAAATCCAGAAAATCACATTGTAGGATTTTTTATGAATGTATTTGCAAATTATGGTGGAAAATAAGTATTTGGTCAATAACAAAAGTTTCTCAATACTTTGTTATATACCCTTTGTTGGCAATGACACAGGTCAAACATTTTCTGTAAGTCTTCACAAGGTTTTCACACTGTTGCTGGTATTTTGGCCCATTCCTCCATGCAGATCTCCTCTAGAGCATTGATGTTTTGGGGCTGTCGCTGGGCAACACAGACTTTCAACTCCCTCCAAAGATTTTCTATGGGGTTCAGATCTGGAGACTGGCTAGGCCACTCCAGGACCTTGAAATGCTTCATACGAAGCCACTCCTTCGTTGCCCGGGCGGTGTGTTTGGGATCATTGTCATGCTGAAAAGACCCAGCTACGTTTCATCTTCAATGCCCTTGCTGATGGAAGGAGGTTTTTCACTCAAAATCTCACGATACATGGCCCCATTCATTCTTTCCTTTACACGGATCAGTCGTCCTGGTCCCTTTGCAGGAAAAACAGCCCCAAAGCATGATGTTTCAACCCCCATGCTTCACAGTAGGTATGGTGTTCTTTGGATGCAACTCAGCATTCTTTGTCCTCCAAACACGGCGAGTTGAGTTTTTACCAAAAAAGTTATATTTTGGTTTCATCTGACCATATGACATTCTCCCAATCCTCTTCTGGATCATCCAAATGCACTCTAGCAAACTTCAGACAGGCCTGGACATGTACTGGCTTAAGCAGGGGGACACGTCTGGCACTGCAGGATTTGAGTCCCTGGCGGCGTAGTGTGTTACTGATGGTAGGCTTTGTTACTTTGGTCCCAGCTCTCTGCAGGTCATTCACTAGGTCCCCCCGTGTGGTTCTGGGATCATTTTGACCCCACGGGGTGAGATCTTGCGTGGAGCCCCAGATCGAGGGAGATTATCAGTGGTCTTGTATGTCTTCCATTTCCTAATAATTGCTCCCACAGTTGATTTCTTCAAACCAAGCTGCTTACCTATTGCAGATTCAGTCTTCCCAGCCTGGTGCAGGTCTACAATTTTGTTTCTGGTGTCCTTTGACAGCTCTTTGGTCTTGGCCATAGTGGAGTTTGGAGTGTGACTGTTTGAGGTTGTGGACAGGTGTCTTTTATACTGATAACAAGTTCAAACAGGTGCCATTAATACAGGTAACGAGTGGAGGACAGAGGAGCCTCTTAAAGAAGAAGTTACAGGTCTGTGAGAGCCAGAAATCTTGCTTGTTTGTAGGTGACCAAATACTTATTTTCCACCATAATTTGCAAATAAATTCATTAAAAATCCTACAATGTGATTTTCTGGATTTTTTTTCTCTCATTTTGTCTGTCATAGTTGACGTGTACCTATGATGAAAATTACAGGCCTCTCTCATATTTTTATGTGGGAGAACTTGCACAATTGGTGGCTGACTAATTACTTTTTTCCCCCACTGTATATGTTCTACTCAGATTGGACTGAGAGACAAGGACTGTACTGCACCATCTGACAGTCCTTAGCTAGCTGACCTCCTAACCGCCACTGAAGTATACAACAAGTTACCAAGAATGCCCACTGAACACAGTACACACATCAGCAGATTGAGATTGTGTGAAGTATGCAAACCTCAGTACATGTTTTCAGACCACTACTAACCTATGCGGTCTCTTTCGGTAGTGAACATACACTACATTACCAAAAGTATGTGGACACCTGCTCGTCGAACATCTCATTCCAGAATCATGGGCATTAATATGGAGTTGGTCCCCCCTTTGCTGCTATAACAGCCTCCACTCTTATGGGAAGGCTTTCCACTAGATGTTGGAACATTGCTGCGGGGACTTGCTTCCATTTAGTCACAAGAGCATTAGTAAGGTCAGGAACTGATGTTGGTTGATTAGGCCTGGCTCGCAGTCAGCATTCCAATTCATCCCAAAGGTGTTTGATGGTGTTGAGGTTCTTCCACACCGATTTTGACAAACCATTTCTGTATGGACCTCGCTTTGTACACAGGGGCATTGTCATGCTGAAACAGGAAAGGGCCTTCCCCAAACTGTTGCCACAAAGTTGGAAGCACAGAATCGTCTAGAATGTCATTGTATGCTGTAGCGTTAAGATTTCCCTTCACTGGAACTAGGGGCCTAGTCCGAACCATGAAAAACAGCCACAGACCATTATTACTCCTCCACCAAACTTTACAGTTGGCACTATGAATTGGGGCAGGTAGCGTTCTCCTGGCATCCGCCAAACCCAGATTTGTCCGTCGGACCGCCAGATGGTGAAGAGTGATTCATCACTCCAGAATCCAATGGCGGTGAGCTTTACACCACTCCAGCCGATGCTTGGCATTGTGCATGGTGATCTTAGGCTTGTGTGCGGCTGCTTGGCCATGGAAACCCATTTCATGAAGCTCCCGACGAACAGTTATTGTGCTGATGTTGCTTCCAGAGGCAGTTTGAAACTTGGTAGTGAGTGTTGCAAACGAGGACAGACGATTTTTATGTGCTACGCGCTTCAGCACTCGGCGGTCCTGTTCTGTGAGCTTGTGTGGCCTACCAATTCGCGGCTGAGCCGTTGTTTCTCCTAGACGTTTCCACCTCACAATAACAGAATTACAGTTGAGCGGGGCAGCTCTAGCAGGGCAGAAGTTTTAAGGAACTGACTTGTTGGAAAGGTGGCATCCTATGACGCTCTTCAGTATGGCCATTCTATTGCCAATATTTGTCTATGGAGATTGCATGGCTGTGTGCTCGATTTAATACACCTGTCAGCAACAGATGTGCCTGAAATAGCCGAATCCACTAATTTGAAGGGGTGTCCACATAGTTTTCTATATACACTACCGTTCCAAAGTTTGGGGTCACTTCGAAAGTTCATTTTTTTTGTCCATTAAAATAACAGAAAATTGATCCGAAATACAGTGTAGACATTGTTAATGTTGTAAATGGCTATTGTAGCTGGAAACGGCTGATTTTTAATGGAATATCTACATAGGCGTACAGAGGCCCATTATCAGCAACCATCAGTCCAGAGTTCCAATGGCACGTTGTGTTTGCTAATCCAAGTTTATCATTTTAAAAGGCTAATTGATCATTAGAAAACTATTTTGCAATAATGTTAGCACAGCTGAAAAGAGTTGTGCTGATTAAAGAAGCAATACAACCAGCCTTCTTGAGACTAGTTGAGTATCTGGAGCATCAGCAATTGTGGGTTCGATTACAGAATCAAAATGGCCAGAAACAAATAACTTTCTTCTGAAACTCGTTAGTCTATTCTTGTTCTGAGAAATGAAGGCTATTCCATGCGAGAAATTGCCAAGAAACTGAAGATCTCGTACAATGCTGTGTACTACTCCCTTCACAGAACAGCGCAAACTGGCTTTAACCAGAATAGAAAGAGGAGTGGGAGGCCCCGGTGCACAACTGAGCAAGAGGACAAATACATTAGAGTGTCTTGTTTGAGAAACAGATGCCTCTCAGGTCCTCAACTGGCAGCTTCATTAAATAGTACCTGCAAAACACCAGACTCAACGTCAACAGTGAAGAGGCGACTCCGGGATGCTGTCCTTCTTGTTGCAAAGAAAAAGCCATATCTCAGACTGGCCAATAAAAATAAAATATTAAGATGGGCAAAAGAACACAGACACTGGACAGAGGAAGATTGGAAAAAAGTGTTATGGACAGACAAATCGAAGTTTGAGGTGTTCGGATCACAAAGAAGAACATTTGTGAGACGCAGACCAAATGAAAAGATGCTGGAGGAGTGCTTGATGCCATCTGTCAAGCATGGTGGAGGCAATGTGATGGTCTGGGGGTGGTAAAGTGGGAGATTTGTACAGGGTAAAATGGATCTTGAAGAGGAAGGCTATCACTACATTTTGCAACTACAACAGGACAATGACCCAAAGCACAGATCCAAACTATGCAATTACTATTTAGGGAAGAAGCAGTCAGCTGGTATTCTGTCTATAATGGAGTGGCCAGCACAGTCACTGGATCTCAACCCTATTGAGCTGTTGTGGGAGCAGCTTGACTGTATGGTACGTAAGAAGTGCCCATCAAGCCAACCCAACTTGTGGGAGGTGCTTCAGGAAGCATGGGGTGAAATCACTTCTGATTACCTCAACAAATGGACAACTAGAACGTTAAAGGTCTGCAAGGCTGTAATAGCTGCAAAGCAAAGTTTAAAGGACACAATTATTATTTATACTAACCTTGTCAATGACTACATTTCTTATGCATTTTGCTATATTTCCTATTCAAACTCATTTCATGTATGTTTTCATGGAAAACAAGGACATTTCTAAGTGACCCCAAACTTTTGAACGGTAGTGTATATCAGTAGATTTTTGACTAATGACAGTGGTTACCTCTTGGGTCAAAATTTTGTTGTAAAAATCTTTCCATAAACAGTAGAGATATGTAGATGAGCTGTGTTGAACTATGTTGGGTGTGATGTGACAGGATATTCTTCTAGTTAAGAATGTGTCACTTTAGTACTGTGTGTGTGTGTGTGTGTGTGTAGCTGGTAACAGGTGGAGGTCTCTACCTGCACACCGGAAGCTCTGGGTAGTCAGGCCCTTCTCCACAGCCAGGCAGGTGAGGATACTGAGGAAGCTGGTGGTGACTGACTGTCTCTTGGCCCTCTGGGTGTCCCTCTGCCTCCTCTCCCTGGAGGGCTTGCTCCTCAGCAGAACCCCCGTCCCCATCGACACTGCACCCGGCTGGGCCTGGCCGGAGCTCTGTCCCTCCTCCCCCTGGGGCCTCTGGGCCGTCACGGCCGTCCGCAGGGCCTCCACCCAGTCCTGGGCCTTGAGTTGGCTCTCAGCCCGCAGACGGAGCACCTCGCTGGGGAAGACGGCTTGGAAGTGGGCAGCGCTGACCCCCTCAGCCTCGTCCCTCTGCACGGCCAGGAAGGAGGCCAGCGGGTAGTGGAGGACGGGCTCAGACACGGGCCCCCGGCCCTCGGTGGGAAAGGCCTGCAGCGTGGAGCGACTCAGTACGAAGGTGAAGGCCCTCCAGTTCTGGTCAGTCAGCTGGTGGAGGAGCCCAGCCTTGAGGACATCCGCACAGCACTGCGTGAACAGGGGCAGGGCCGTGGGCCGGGCTGGGGGGAGATTGGATGATCGAGGGGCCAGGGCAGCCTCAGCAGGACCACAGGGGTCTGGTCTGGTGTCGAGACCTCCAGATGAGACGGATGACGACGGGGATAAGGCTTGAAGCGGCTCTGCATTTCTGTGGGCGGGCCGGGCAGCCAGTACTCTCTCCCAGATCAGCCTCCTCCAGTCTAGCGCCTCCCACTGGCAGGCGGCACGTAACTGCAGGCGGGTGGAGCTGTTGAAGAAGAGGTCAGTGAGTGATCTTTTAACACATGTTGCTATGAGAGAAAGAATATTGCAACAAAGCTTCAATTGCAACTCATATTCAAGTGAGTGCAGGCCATTTTTTCATGTTTATGTGATTGACATAAACATTTACTTAGATTTATCCAGGAAGACCTGTTGAGGTCAGAAGACACCATGGTTTTGAGCACCATGGTTTTCTCCCTTTACCTGTTGAAGAAGAGGGCCTGGAGGACTCGCCCGTCCTGGGGCGGCTGGGGCTGGCTGACCCCCTGGCAGTGGGACAGGGAGTAGGCAGTGCAGAGCTGCCGGTTACCGCTGCTGTCCAGGCTATAGAGACGCAGCTCACAAGGGGTCAGCTCTACGTGACAGACGCTCCATCGACCCTTCTGACCCTCACGATGCTCCAGGGAACCCTGTTTCACCACACTGCCGCTGCTGCTCTCCTTATGGGCTGTAACAAACACAGCATATTCAGCGACAGGATCATTTGCTGCTGTCCATATGGCAACTCACAACATTTGAGGGCCACCAATCTGATAGCACTTCTGTATATATATATATATAGTACCAGTCAAAAGTTTGGACACACCTACTCATTCAAGGGTTCTTCTTTATTTGTACTATTTTATACATTGTAGAATAATAGTGAAGACATAAAAATTATGAAATAACACATATGGAATCATGTAGTAACCAAAAAAGTTTAAACAAATCAAAATATATTTTATATTTGAGATTCTTCAAAGTAGCCACCCTTTGCCTTGATGACAGTTTTGCACACTCTTTGCATTCTCTCAACCAGCTTCATGAGGTAGTCACCTGGAATGCATTTCAATTAACAGGTGTGCCTTGTTAAAAGTTAATGCGTTTGAGCCAATCAGTTGTGTTGTGACAAGGTAGGGTTGGTATACAGAAGATGGTCTTTTACCAAATAGGGCTAAGTCCATATTATGGCAAGAACAGCTCAAATAAGCAAAGTGCAGTCGCAAAAACCATCAAGCGCTATGATGAAACTGGCTCTCATGAGGACCGCCACAGGAAAGGAAGACCCAGAGTTACCTCTGCTGCAGAGGATAAGTTCATTAGAGTTACCAGCCTCAGAAATCGGCAATTAACTGCACCTCAGATTGCAGCCCAAATAAATGAGTTTAAGTAATAGACACATCTCAACATCAACTGTTCAGAGGAGACTGGGTGAATCAGGCCGTCATGGTTGAATTGCTGCAAAGATACCACTACTAAAGGACACCAATAATAAGAAGAGACTTGCTTGGGCCAAGAAACACGAGCAAAGGACATTAGACCGGTGGAAATATGTCCTTTGGTCTGATGAGTCCAAATGTGAGATTTTTGGTTCCAACTGCCGTGTCTTTGTGAGAAGCAGAGTAGGTGAACGGATGATCTCCGCATGTGTGGTTCACATCGTGAAGCATGGAGGAGGAGGTGTGATGGTGCTTTGCTGGTGACACTGTCAGTGATTTATTTAGAATTCAAGGCATACTTAACCAGCATGGCTACAACAGTATTCTGCAGCGATACGCCATTACATTTTAGTCACTTAGCAGACGCTCTTATCCAGAGCGACTTACAGTTAGTGCATACATTATTTTTTATTTTATACTGGCCCCCCGTGGGAATCGAACCCACAACCCTGGCGTTGCAAACACCATGCTCTACCAACTGAGCTACATCCCTGCCGGCCATTCCCTCCCCTACCGTGGAAGACGCTGGGCCAATTTTTTTTTTTTGTGGGGGTGGGGTAAGGGGGGGGTAGAAGGATTACTTTATCCTATCCCAGGTATTCCTTAAAGAGGTGGGGTTTCAAGTGTCCCCGGAAGGTGGTGAGTGACTCCGCTGTCCTGCCGTCGTGAGGGAGCTTGTTCCACCATTGGGGTGCCAGAGCAGCGAACAGTTTTGACTGGGCTGAGCGGGAACTGTGCTTCCGCAGAGGTAGGGGGGCCAGCAGGCCAGAGGTGGATGAACGCAATGCCCTCGTTTGGGTGTAGGGACCAAGAAGGAGAGTGATGGAGTGCTGCATCAGATGACCTAGCCTCCACAATCACCCGACCCCAACCAAGTGAAGGAAAAGCAGCCAACAAGTGCTCAGCATATGTGGGAACTCCTTCAAGACTGTTGGAAAAGTATTCCAGGTGAAGCTGGTTGAGAGAATGACAAGAGTGTGCAAAGCTGTCATCAAGGCAAAGGGTGGCTACTTTGAATAATCTCAAATATAAAATATATTTTGATTTGTTTAACACTTTTTTGGTTACTACATGATTCCATACAGTGAGGGAAAAAAGTATTTGATCCCCTGCTGATTTTGTACGTTTGCCCACTGACAAAGAAATTATCTGTCTATAATTTTAATGGTATGTTTATTTGAACAGTGAGAGACAGAAAAACAACAAAAAAATCCAGAAAAATGCATGTCAAAAATGTTATAAATTGATTTGCATTTTAATTAGGGAAATAAGTATTTGACCCCCTCTCAATCAGAAAGATTTCTGGCTCCCAGGTGTCTTTTATACAGGTAACGAGCTGAGATTAGGAGCACACTCTTAAAGGGAGTGCTCCTAATCTCAGTTTGTTACCTGTATAAAAGACACCTGTCCACAGAAGCAATCAATCAATCTGATTCCAAACTCTCCACCATGGCCAAGACCAAAGAGCTCTCCAAGGATGTCAGGGACAAGATTGTAGACCTACACAAGGCTGGAATGGGCTACAAGACCATCGCCAGCAGCTTGGTGAGAAGGTGACAACAGTTGGTGCGATTATTCGCAAATGGAAGAAACACAAAATAACTGTCAATCTCCCTCAGCCTGGGGCTCCATGCAAGATCTCACCTCGTGGAGTTGCAATGATCATGAGAACGGTGAGGAATCAGCCCAGAACTACATGGGAGGATATTGTCAATGATCTCAAGGCAGCTGGGAACATAGTCACCAAGAAAACAATTGGTAACACACCATGCCGTGAAGGACTGAAATCCTGCAGCGCCCGCAAGGTCCCCCTGCTCAAGAAAGCACATATACAGGCCCGTCTGAAGTTTGCCAATGAACATCTGAATGATTCAGAGGAGAACTGGGTGAAAGTGTTGTGGTCAGATGAGACCAAAATTGAGCTCTTTGGCATCAACTCAACTCACCGTGTTTGGAGGAGGAGGAATTCTGCCTATGACCCCAAGAACACCATCCCCACCGTGTCACGATCGTTTACAGACGAGACGGACCAAGGCGCAGCGTGATATGCATTCATGTTTATTGACGACTAAACACACGACAAAACAACAAACGAAACGTGACGTCCAAGGTAGACAAATAACATACCTCACACGGAACAAGATCTCACACCCCACTAGTGCCAACAGGCTACCTAAGTATGGTCCCCAATCATAGACAACGAGCTACAGCTGCCTCTGATTGGGAACCACCCTGGCCAACATGGATCTAAACGATCTAGAAACTAACATAGACAAACCCAACACAGAAAATACACACCCTGACTCAACCAATACGAGTCCCTAGAGTCAGGGCGTGACAGTACCCCCCCCCCCCGGCGGATCCGGTTCCGGAGTGGAGCCGCTGGCCGGAGCTGGACTAGACCCCGGTGGAGCGGATTGCTCTGGCTCCGGAGTGGAGCCGCTGACCGGAGCTGGACCAGGCACCGGTGGAACAGGCACGGGCCGTGCCGGACTGGACACACGCACCACTGGCTTGGTGCGGGGAGCAGGAACGGGCCGGACTGGGCTGACGACGCGCACCACTGGCTTGATGCGGGGAGCAGGAACGGGCCGGACTGGGCTGACGACGCGCACCACTGGCTTGGTGCGGGGAGCAGGAACGGGCCGGACTTGGCTGATGACGCGCACCACTGGCTTGATGCGGGGAGCAGGAACGGGCCGGACTGGGCTGACGACGCACACCACTGGCTTGGTGCGGGGAGCAGGAACGGGCCGGACTTGGCTGATGACGCGCACCACTGGCTTGATGCGGGGAGCAGGAACGGGCCGTACCGGACTGGCGACACGCACCACTGGCCTGGTGCGGGGAGCAGGAACAGGCCGGGCCGGGCTGGCGACGCGCACCACTGGCTTGATGCGAGGAGCAGGAACGGGCCGAACCATACTGGGAACACCCACCACTGGCTTAGTGCGGGAATCAGGAACGGGCCGGACCGGACTGGCGACACGCACCACTTGATTGGTGTGAGGAGCGGGACTGGGTTCCTTCATTAACCCCCGCTCCTTCTGCTGCCTAACCAGCTCCTCTCGCCGTGCCTCTACACTTTCCTTCTGTTCCCTCTGAACCAATGACCCCCTTAATCTGGCGGCTTCCTGTGCTAAACGGCTGAACCGCTCTATCGCGGCCTCCTGCTGCCTCGTCGTCCACGGCGTGAGCCCCCCCCCTAAAAATGTTTTGGGCTTGTCTCTCCCCCGTGATCATGGCCTCCATCCCCCCCCCCCCCCCCCAAAGGTGCGGACTCCGACCGCGCCACATAAACCTAACAGGGTAGGGGCCGGGTGGGCATTCCGCCTCGGAGGCGGATCCGGTTCCGGAGTGGAGCCGCTGGCCGGAGCTGGACTAGACCCCGGTGGAGCGGATTGCTCTGGCTCCGGAGTGGAGCCGCTGACCGGAGCTGGACCAGGCACCGGTGGAACAGGCACGGGCCGTGCCGGACTGGACACACGCACCACTGGCTTGGTGCGGGGAGCAGGAACGGGCCGGACTGGGCTGACGACGCGCACCACTGGCTTGATGCGGGGAGCAGGAACGGGCCGGACTGGGCTGACGACGCGCACCACTGGCTTGGTGCGGGGAGCAGGAACGGGCCGGACTTGGCTGATGACGCGCACCACTGGCTTGATGCGGGGAGCAGGAACGGGCCGGACTGGGCTGACGACGCACACCACTGGCTTGGTGCGGGGAGCAGGAACGGGCCGTACCGGACTGGCGACACGCACCACTGGCCTGGTGCGGGGAGCAGGAACAGGCCGGGCCGGGCTGGCGACGCGCACCACTGGCTTGATGCGAGGAGCAGGAACGGGCCGAACCTTACTGGGAACACCCACCACTGGCTTAGTGCGGGAATCAGGAACGGGCCGGACCGGACTGGCGACACGCACCACTTGATTGGTGTGAGGAGCGGGACTGGGTTCCTTCATTAACCCCCGCTCCTTCTGCTGCCTAACCAGCTCCTCTCGCCGTGCCTCTACACTTTCCTTCTGTTCCCTCTGAACCAATGACCCCCTTAATCTGGCGGCTTCCTGTGCTAAACGGCTGAACCGCTCTATCGCGGCCTCCTGCTGCCTCGTCGTCCACGGCGTGAGCCCCCCCCCCTAAAAATGTTTTGGGCTTGTCTCTCCCCCGTGATCATGGCCTCCATCCCTCTTGCCAGACTCTCGCTCATCTCCTCCCAAGTCCATCCTCTCTCCTCGTCACGCTGCTTGATCCAGGATTGGTGGGATCTTCTGTCACGATCGTTTACGGACGAGACGGACCAAGGCGCAGCGTGATATGCATTCATGTTTATTGACGACTAAACACACAACAAAACAACAAACGAAACGTGTTTGGAGGAGGAGGAATGCTGCCTATGACCCCAAGAACACCATGCCCACTGTAAAACATGGAAGTGGAAACATTATGCTTTGGGGGTGTTTTTCTGCTAAGGGGACAGGACAACTTCACCGCATCAATGGGACGATGGACGGGGCCATGTACTGTCAAATCTTGGGTGAGAACCTCCTTCCCTCAGCCAGGGCATTGAAAATGGGTCGTGGATGGGTATTCCAGCATGACAATGACCCAAAACACACGGCCAAGGCAACAAAGGAGTGGCTCAAGAAGAAGCACATTAAGGTCCTGGAGTGGCCTAGCCAGTCTCCAGACCTTAATCCCATAGAAAATCTGTGGAGGGAGCTGAAGGTTCGAGTTGCCAAACGTCAGGCTCGAAACCTTAATGACTTGGAGAAGATCTGCAAAGAGGAGTGGGACAAAATCCCTCCTGAGATGTGTGCAAACCTGGTGGCCAACTACAAGAAACGCCTGACCTCTGTGATAAGAGCGTCTGCTAAATGATGTAAATGTAATTGCCAACAAGGGTTTTGCCACCAAGTACTAAGTCATGTTTTGCAGAGGGGTCAAATACTTATTTCCCTCATTAAAATGCAAATCAATTTATAACATTTTTGACATGCGTTTTTCTGGAATTTTTTGTTGTTATTCTGTCTCTCACTGTTCAAATAAACCTTACATTAAAATTATAGACTGATCATGTCTTTGTCAGTGGGCAAACGTACAAAATCAGCAGGGGATCAAATACTTTTTTCCCCTCACTGTATGTGTTATTTCATAGTTTTGATGTCTTCACTATTATTCTACAATGTAGAAAATAGTTAAGAATAAAGAAAAACTCTTGAATGAGTAGGTGTGTACAAACATTTGACTGGTACTGTATATATATATATATATATTGTTGTTGTAGTATTCCCCCCCTTCTCCCAATTTCAATTACGATCTTGTCTCTTCGCTGCAACTCCCCAACGGGCTCGGGAGAGGCGAATGTCGAGTCATGCGTCCTCCGAAACATGACCCGCCAAACCGCGCTCCTTAACACCCGCCCGTTTAACCCGGAATCCAGCTGCAACAATGTGTCGGAGGAAACACTGTTCAACTGACTACCGAAGTCAGCCTGCAGGCGCCAGGCAAGCCACAAGGAGTCGCTAGAGCACGATGAGCCAAGTAAAGCCCCCCCGCCAAACCCTCCCCTTACCCAGACGACACTGGGCCAATTGTGCGCCGCCCTATGAGACTCCCGGTCTGTGCCGGTTGTGACACAGCCTGGGATCGAACCCGGGTCTGTAGTGACGCCTCAAGCACTGCGATGCAGTGCCATAGACCGTTGCACCACTCAGGACTGATAGCACTTTTGACATGCTCTTTACCAGATCATGTCCAGGTCTGAATGTCCAGGTCTGAATGTCCAGGTCAGCAGGGCTAGCTGTAAAAGTGCTTCCTCGGAGGTCATAAACACCCTCTCTCTGCCCTTCCTCCCTCCCTCCATCCGTTTCTTTCACACACTCCTTTCTTTATCTCTTTTCTTTTACATTCCTCCTTTTTGAATATCATCTCTCAGCTTCCTGCTCAGTGGATATGGGTTTTGACTTGTGCTGTTTGCTGCACGTAGGGTGCAGACGGACTGGGGTGAGATTCCATCTACCTACCAGCGTCCCCGGAGCATTGCTAAAGCCAAACGGCATGATGACGCTGAACTGGAAATACCCGCCCCATGAGACACATAGGAGACGTTTTCCTTATCTGTAACTCTCCAGCTCACTATAGGCCTAGAATATCATATCAGGGGAACAACTCAAGGCCTAAACTATCATATCAGGGGGAACGCAACTCTAGCCCTAGAATATCATATCAGGGTAACACAACTCTAGGCCTAGAATATCATATCAGGGGAACACAACTCTTGGGTTAGGGTTACGTATACTTGTTTTCGTCCTTATCCTTATCAGAAACCTAGTTACACTCTGTAGCTCAATTGGTAGATTAGATCCCCGGGACATAACCATACGTAAAAATGTATGCACACATGACTGTAAGTCGCTTTGGATAAAAGCGTCTGCTAAATGGCATATTATTATTATTAACAGGTGTGTGTAGTCCTTGACCAATCAATGATAACTGATAATCAATTGGCAGGGATTAAGAAAAAAAAAAGTAGGACAACTACAGTTCATTTCAGTGCATCCCTGTACTAGCCTTTACTGTTAAGGCCGCTACACACTTCACGTAAACTACGCAAACGCAGCGTCTGAATGTCGTTTTCGCACGTAGTTCTACGTACTTTTGTGTGGCTAAAATTTTGGAATGGACCGTATACGACGCTCCGTCGCTCTGTTTGCATGAAGTGTGTAGCGGCCTTTATTGTTACTACTGTTACTAACCACTGTTACTACTGTTACTAACCACTGTTACTACTGTTACTAACCACTGTTACTAACCACTGTTACTAACCACTGTACTATTTAATAAACCATGGTACCCTGTTAACTAACCACTGTTATCTTTACAACCACTGTACGTCCTGTTACTAACCACTGTTACCCTGTTACTAACCACTGGTACTAACCATGTTACTAACCACTGTACAACCAATGGTACTAACCACTTCTAACACTGTTACAACCACTGTTATCCTGTACTAACCACTGTATACTGTACTAACCACTGTTACTTACTGTTACTAACCACTGATTACTACTGTTACAACAACCACTGTTACTAACCACTGTACTAACCACTGGACTAAACACTGGTTACTACTGTTACTAACCATGTTATTAACCACTGTTACTACTGTTACTAACCCTGTTTTAATCACTGTTACTACTGTACTAACCACTGTGTAACTACTGTGTTACTAACCACTGTTACTACTGTTACTAACCACTGTTATTAACCACTGTTACTACTGTTACTAACCACTGTTATTAATCACTGTTACTACTGTTACTAACCACTGTTACTACTGTTACTAACCACTGTTACTCCTGTTACTAACCACTGTTACTAACCACTGTTACTCCTGTTACTAACCACTGTTACTACTGTTACTAACCACTGTTACTACTGTTACTAACCACTGTTACTAACCACTGTTACTAACCACTGTTACTACTGTTACTAACCACTGTTATTAACCACTGTTACTACTGTTACTAACCACTGTTACTACCGTTACTAACCACTGTTACTAACCACTGTTACTACTGTTACTAACCACTGTTACTACTGTTACTAACCACTGTTACTAACCACTGTTACTAACCACTGTTACTAACCACTGTTACTACTGTTACTAACCACTGTTACTAACCACTGTTACTAACCACTGTTACTAACCACTGTTACTAACCACTGTTACTACTGTTACTAACCACTGTTACTACTGTTACTAACCACTGTTACTAACCACTGTTACTAACCACTGTTACTAACCACTGTTACTAACCACTGTTACTAACCACTGTTACTAACCACTGTTACTACTGTTACTACTGTTACTAACCACTGTTACTGTGAGAGGAGCAGATGCCAAGAGCAAAGCCCGGGGCAGACAACCAGACCGCTGTGCTTTGGCTTTCGGGAGCCACTCAGACGAGGGTGGGGGGTGCTAGGGGGCTCGCCTGTCCCCCTGGGCTTCAAAGGCTCCTGTGAGCATGTGGGTGTGGAGCAGGTCACTGTTCATTTCACGCTACAGAGGAAGCAAGGCACACGGACATGACTCAATTAGCAGTCTGCGCTTTGCTCTGCTTTGCTGGGCTTGGTCAACCAGCAGCGGTCTAGCCCTACAAAGTCCTACAACTCCACTGAATTTAACTGGCTGTCCTGGCCTGTCCTGGCCACCTGATGCGATAGCGTTGCTGAAACGTCACAGGGACTTAACATTAACGTGACGTGAATGGTCTGGCCCAGAGGCAGGTGAGGAGAGGACATCTTATGAACTCATTGTTGGTGTCTGAGCCGTCACTTCATATTATACTCAACTTACAATGGTGCCTTGTAGCTGTGCTTTGTCCCCTATTGATAGCTTAATAGCTTCACTAAATGAACTAGCCTAATAATTTTAGAAAATGCTCATAAAAACTAGGCTAAATGTGGTTAAAATGGACAATGGTCCCTTTACCCCCCTCTAGTTCCCATTCCTTCCTGCTTTTTAAATAACTGAGGTAAAGAACGGTGGTGGTGTGTCCCAGGGTTCTCCCCAAATCATTTATTTTCCTTTTCTTTCTTTGCTTTCATATAAGGCAATTTTTTGCTCTAGATTGCAGGAAATGGCAGTTAGAGCCGTGTGTTTTGGTATTTTATTAGGATTCCCATTAGCTGTTGCAAAAGCTACTCTTCCTGAGGTCCACACAAAACATGACATAATACAGAACATTAATAGACAAGAACAGCTCAAGGACAGAACTACATAAAACATTTTTAAAGGCACACGTAGCCTACATATGAATACATACACACAAACTATCTAGGTCAAATAGGGGAGAGGAGTTGTGCCGTGAGGTGTTGCTTTATCTGTTTTTTGAAACCAGGTTTGCTGTCTATTTGAGCAATATGAGATGGAACGGAGTTAACGCTGTGAGACCTAAACAAGCTAATGTTACGCCACACAGCCTCGGGCCCAATTGCCTCAACCCTGCTGTCAAAACGCTGAACTAGGATATCCCACTTCAGTTCAGCTGGCGCCTAGCTGAACTCGGCTAGCTGAACCGAACGAGTGTGCTCGCATACTCCCTTAAAATATGTTCGCTTGAAAAATGAGAAAATAAAATTGCTAATAGTACCGTTTGTCTATTTTGAGATGCCGTAGCCAGTATACGCTTCATCAAAATAGTCAGAATTAATCTAAAATTACTCAAGGAATCTGTCATTAATTTTGACATTTTTGCAGAGGAGATTTTGTCACGTAATTCTACATCTAAGTAAGATGTTTGGTGTAGTATTTTTCAATGAAAAAATGTGCATGAAAACGAGTCGTCTCTTGTTGAATGACAACAAAGACTTTATTGACGAATCCCTACTGTTGACCAATCACCAACGAAGGGGAGTAGAGTTCAGCTCCGAAATTCAGCTTGCCTCTAGAAAACGTTGTGTGCCCGAACAACCCTCACTGAAGTCCAAAACGAACAAAAACGTCACACAGTGTCATTATAACATATGCACGAACTCTTCCGAACTGTTTCGGCTGGGAAGCAGCTACCTTAAGGCTTACACGGGGACGTGATGATAAACACTGTAGCAGGGGCCAGGGTGTAATTTGGGGGGAGGTTTGTACCGGGAATAGGGAGTACTGGTTAGGTTAGCTCACTTAGCTAAACCTGCCAAAGACATAAAGGGCAGATAGAATTGCTAGAGCAGTCACTCTTACTGTAATGACTGACTGCCACACCCAGACAGAACAAGGACTGGGACAGCCAATCATAACAACAACTGCCATTTTATAACTTTGGCCTTTAAAGAAGTAGTAGTTGGTGATTCCTGGACACCATGACAGACAGACCCAAAGAGGACAGGAATAACTATTTTTTTCCCAGTAAAGACAACATTCCTAACATAGAGATACATATATTAAGTGTTCTACTTAATTCTGTGGTGTCCCTAATTAAATCAAAAGCCAAAAGAACAGAGATTCATTAGATGAATGAACCAATGGAAAGACCAATTAACAGGTAATAAAGCTAGGCTATACATTCAAATCCCTGAGGTACATGTCTGGTCGAATGTCTTAAGACGACAATAAAAAAATTAACGAGTAGAGTGGTAAATTAAGTAAAACCCCTACAGCACTATAACACTGACAGCTGAAGGTAGATGGCTCAGTGACGCCCACTCTCTCGCGCTGGCGCATGCTGAAATCAACAGATCCATCAGCATTAGTGTGTGTGTGTGTGTGTTGCTGCTGCTGAGGAAATCAGTAAATGTCACCCCACCAGGACACAGCAGCAGTGTGTGGGCTGGGCTCGTTATAGGGAACCGTTACCGGTGGCGGTGGTACAGGGTGAGCGCATTCTTGCATGCCAGCGGCTCCAAAGCCTCCTTCCCCTATTGCATCCGATGTGAAAACATTAACTGCAGAGGACCCCCATGTTATTCAAGGTAGTGGAGAGTTAGGGGATGTCATGGTTTTCTCTCTTAGCAATTAAACGGATATGCTGAGTTTTTTCCTAAGAAGAGATAGGCCCTAGCCTAGGCCTACCTACACAGTACACACGTCATCAAATGTCATGGAAATATGTTACAGGGCATGAGAGGATACAATTAGGCTAGAGTGTATAAAAGCATTGCCAACTATAATGACTGGCAAACAGCAGTATATCTTCTGATGCTAAGTGCTGTTGAATGCAGCCCTCAGCTTTTACCATCCTCTTGTGAAGCCTAACTATCCATCCGTCCATCCCTCCTCCCTGCCTAGAGCCAACTAAGGCCTTTTCAGTCCTATGCTAATCCTTCCTAATTTGAGGGATAATTGGGCCTCTCTCTTTCTCCTCATTTGGGTCTGTTTGGTGACAGAATGCATCCTATTACATCCTATTATGGTCTTTGGTGAAGATCTTCACACTCACATCCCTAAACAAACAAAAACAAGCAGACTAAACAATGGGTCAGGGAGGTTGGTATTATTCACCACATCCTGACAGGCCACTGCTGTGGAAGCTCAGTTCCAGAAGAATCCTATGCTGGCTGCTGCAGTACAGCTTAGGCCCAATTGTTTTCTGTAGGATGCTGAAATCATCTTCATAACGTGGAAGTGGAAGCTAGTCCTAAACTGAATCTATTCTCTGACATAGGCTATCAAGACACATTTCCTCTAAGTACTTAAACTGGGCAATATATTGCTTGAATTAATGTGATAATGATAAATAGAAAGATACGTTTATAACAAGCATGTGCACCACAGTTTTATTTTTTATTATCCTTTAAACTACTACTGCTAGTTTGATGGTTATAGCCATCAATTGTCCCATTAACGATCACCCATATTAGTAAACTTATTTCATTTCAAACTTTCCATAACGAACAATATCAGCAAAATCCCTACGATAATTTGATCGGTATGGTCGGCGTCCATAATTTGATCGGTATGGTCGGCGTCCATAATTTGATCGGTATGGTCAGCGTCCATAATTTGATCGGTATGGTCGGCGTCCATAATTTAATTGGTATGGTCAGTGTCAATAATTTTCGGTTTATCGTCCTAGCTCTACTAAGTACATGTCATGATAGCCTATTTAGCAAACATTTTAAAGATTTGTTTGAAGCTCATAGACACTGATATTGATTTGAGTATCAACCAATAATAAATAGGCAGTATGTCCTTATCAGCTAACCAAAGAAGGACACACTCTTCCTTCCTGCCTTACCTTCTTCTCTCTGGTCGTTGAGAGCCATGTTCTTCAGTGTGTTCTTGTCCACAGCAGGCAGGCCGTTAGCGTTGTCCATGTAGGACGGCCGGTAGTTAACATCAGACCGCGAGCGGTTATGGCCTTTCTTAAAGGCGGCGTTGGAGGAGTTAGAGGAGGTGTTGTTGGTGTCCTTGGTGTGGGCAGCCAGGTCGTTAGTGGAACGAGCACGGCTCCTTTTCCCCTGCCTCAGACCCAGCACGCTGAAGGCCGAGGGTTGGTCAGCCCAGGCCACGTTACGCGGGGACACCTCAGTCCCCTGTTCCCCGGCCAGCAGGCCCCACACCCCGCTAGAGCTCAGCTTCCCCAGGGCTACAGACATCTCCTGCAGCTTGGGGTGGTGCTGCCTGGGCTGCCATACCCCCTCCCCTCCCTGGACTCCACCTCCATCCAGGCAGTGTAGGAAGTCCTCAGTGGCCTCCAGGGCAGGGCTAATATCCTCCACCTCCAGCCCCTCCATGGTGCTCCTTGGCTGGGCCCCGCGTGGAGGCTGTTAGGGCAGGCGGGGTGGTGGTGGTTCTCTATGGGGCTGGGTGGTTCTCTGGGCAGGGGAGGATCCAAGCGGCTCTGGACCTCGCAGCTGAAGCATCTGCAGTCTGAGCCCCAGAGGGAGGCCGCCTAAGTGGATGGTGTTCCTCGAGGGCTGGGCTCCTTCCAGGAAAACAATTCCTCTTTAACACAGCTCTGTTAATCAACTAGCTAGAGGCGGACACTCCTATTGAGTTTATGCTAGCTCTGGCCTTTGCCAGAAATTCTCATGGCACAGTTTTGGGGTGGCACTGCTTTTCTTACACAGGCCAATGGCTCTCTCTCTCTCTGTGTGTGTGTGTGTGTGTGTGTGTGTGTGTGTGTGTGTGTGTGTGTGTGTGTGTGTGTGTGTGTGTGTGTGTGTGAGAGAGTGAGTGAGTGAGTGAGTGAGTGAGTGAGTGAGTGAGTGAGTGAGTGAGTGAGTGAGTGAGTGAGTGAGAGAGAGAGAGAAAAATAGCTCTCACATGAATCCACATGAGGATGTGTGTAACAAAGAACAATGTTCCTCCTCCACGTTGGATGATGATGTCATCAAAAGGGGACAATTTGAGGCTTCACTGTGTCATGGGAAAGAAAAGGGAACAAAAAAAGGAAGCATGTCAGTTGATTATCAGATATGTTAAGCAATGAACAAGGCTTAGCAAGCTTAACATTTCCTGATCTCATCAAACAACATACGCATTATCCAGTTGACAGATAACAACAGTTTACAAACACTGCCAACAATCTTGGCTCATAAACCTATTGTAAATCAAAGACAATTACCTACAATCAATCTGTTGCCCTCAACCATCGGATGCTCCCTCGACTGTTCGGATCAACCCAGGTAGAGGGAGTAAATGGAATAGCCTAGTCTAACACACAGACAGCTAACCTGTGCCTCAGGCATGGACCAACCTGGTTTGGGCGGGGTTCACACTCCAGACAGTTTAGCCTCTCACTGTCAGGGTTTGTTCTAATTGTTCTCTTCCTCCGCGAAGCAGCGTCTGACTCCTCATCCCTCGCTACCTCTCTCCCTCTTCCTCTGTCACTGACAGGCCCATCAATTTTCCTTCCATCCCCTTGCTCCCTCCCAGCTCTGGTTCTTTCACTTTCTTCCAGACATGAATTATTTAGAGGACATCGCCACTAGCCAGTCCCTGGATGGCATACAGTCAGCACTTCACTGGGAAAGGGGGGGTGGGTGATGTAAGGAGAGGGAGTGAGGAGAGGAGAGGGGCTGAGGTAAGTTGGAGGGACGGAGGGACGGAGAGGAGAGGGGTGAGTTGGAGGGAGGGAGGGGGTGAGGTGAGGAGATGGGGTGAGGTGAGAGGGTGAGGAGGTGAGGGGGTGAGGTGAGAAGGAGAGGGGGTGAGGAGAGGAGGTGAGGTGAAAAGGAGAGGGGATGAGGAGAGGGGGTGAAGTTACGGGGTGAAGAGAGAGGGTGAGGTTAGGGCTGGGCAATATATCAAATTAATTTGATTGTTTTAGCATGATATTCCAAATGCCTGTATCACAACAATCGAGTTTTATAAAAAATAAATGCGTTTATGTCTGCTTGTTTTCATGTTGTCTTTTTGGTCTCGCCATCTGTGCTGTGCACCTTCCCAGTTACAAACACACACACCAAGCCCTGCCTCCTGCCACTCACAACAACAAAGATGAGAGATCACTTCTTCCTCTCTGACAAGCAGTTTCAATTCGCTATTTGCATTTGAGGTTTGGTCCAAGAGAATCAGACATATGGACTTTTGGTCATGTAGTGTATATATCGTGAATCGCCCATAAGTCTGAAAAAAAAAAAGATATCATTTTTAGGCCATATCGCCCAGGAGAGGGGATGGGGTGGAGGGAGGGGTGAGGTGGATGGATCAAGGAGGATTGATCAAGGAGGGCAGCCAGGCCAGATGAGGCTGTGACAACAAGCCCCTGGGGGAGCCCTGGGCAGGGTGTGACTGCAACTCCAGGTACAACTTCAGCTACAGTAGCTACAGGTATCTGACTCATCAATCTCTCTACAGCAATGAGTTCACTGCATCCTCCAATGAAACATTATGTCATCATCGCTATGTTCATAGCAAATTATCATCCCACAGACAATCATCCTGCACTAAAGAGAACGCCCGGCCCAAAACTAGAAAAACATATTCAACCATCCCCAAGAGCACATGTAAAAAAGGAACCACAAATCATATCCTGGTGACATTTGACATGAGTGACCTAGTGCATGACTGTTTGAGGCAAGCAGCACCAGCAGCAGCAGAGTCACGACAGTGTGTCCTCAACTTCCCCAGCAGACTAGCTGGTGTGACACAGAAGCACACTGTCCCTCCTCACTGACTGTCTATTTATATCCCTCTCACACATCAGGCATCAAATCTTCCCTCATTGCAGTAGCTAGGACCGGTGTGTGTGTATGTGTGTGTGTGTGTGCGTGCATCAGCATGTAGTCTACACATCTGTATTTTATCTATTCATTTGACATGAATGAGGTAACTAACTGAAGGACTGGCTCTGGTGTAGTTAGCAATTCATTGATCAATACAAGGGGACAGCGCTGTCAAGACAGGTGCCTTCCTTACAACTTCTGACAACAGTGCAGCATGCAACAATGCAATCAATGCAGCTATCCTAGCTAGTTAGTTCCTGTTTTACATAGACATCCAGACCAGCTACATCCTGGTTGAGTGGTTCACTGACATAGTTAGCTAGCTAGTTAGCTTGTCCCAAACTAGCACAGAAACAACACTTAGTAGAGCTTGCCTACCAAATTAGCGAGATAAACGGCTCCGTTAGCTAGCAGGTGTGAATGTCCATCATCTAGCTAGCAAGCTAACGTTAGCTAACAACGTCAGCTAGCCTCCATCCTTGAACAATGTCATTTCGATTCTAGGGTTAAAACCATCTAGCTACTCACGCAAATATTTATCAATATTTGTTCATATCGTTGTTCGAACAAAAACACCAGCTAAATACCCACAGACGCGGTCTCGAAATAATAATTAACAAGTCGTGACTCACCTGATTCTGTTTACAAATATGTCATTTTCTGGTCCGTCAGAGAAAAACGTTCACCGGATAGACCTGATAGTTCCTTCATTAAATGTTCCGTCTCTTGCAACTTGTGTGAGTTGGCCATGCATTCTGGAGAAGGGGTGTCCTGATTCTCAACCATTCATTTTCCACAGATCAGTTCAGAGAAATTACTGTAGAGAGTTGTCAATTCTGCAATGGCATGGGAAGAATAATTTATTCTATAAGTAATAATACAATAGTATGGTAATACTAACATGATAATTCTGGTGCAATTATAATCTCAACATGAATGGAAACAACATAATAATTATTCCACAAGTGTCTGTAATAATAATTGAGAAACTTTTGGTGAGTTGCCAAACCTTTCAGTTACTGCATCTGTGCCTAATTTATTCTGCATCCCTATGTCTCATTCTCCCTGTGTGTTTTACATGAAAATAACATAGCTTTTTTATAACTGAACATTTAATGTCCTTTTAAATGACTCCAACCCTGTTTCATACCCATTCCCCCAAAATCACACAAATTAACCTACAGTTGCTGCAAAACCAATATAATACTAATTTTGTGACTAAGGCAGATGACAGCAGCGGGGGGGCCACATATCAAACTGAAAATCCTCCTACAAAGGTCATAAAGACATTTCTCTAATGACGAATCTGAGTGGAGGGGTGGAGGAAAGGGGGATGAGAAGGGAGAGAACGGAGCATATTTTTTCCTAATGGGGCAAAGCTAGCGATGCTTGAAGCTACCCAACGTCCATTGTGCTGGCCCTACAGAAATAGAAACACTAGTCTCTTTCAAGCCAGCGAGAGAAACACAATAATTATCGTGGGCTCTCTCGGCTAAATCTGCGACCTCCCCTCCCTCAGTCCCTCAGAGCCCCCCTGTACCCTTTCTATGTGCTTATTGTCTAGGCTCGTTTAAAAAATCATTCTCTAATGAAGGAGGAGGGGGCCCTGCCCGGGCTAATGTGCTCAAATATGTTCCACTCCGGAGCATTGTTGTGGGATAATGGCTCTATGAGCCGCAGCTGTAAACTTGCAGACGCCATATTGTGCATGACCTACAGAGAGCTGCATGTGAACTCTTGCTAAATGCTATTTGTCCCAGCAAACTCTCCTCTCTTTTATTTTGTTCTGAGAGGAGAGACAATTATGGCAGTCAGCGATTGAGCCTAGCTGCCTTTGGTAGAGATGCAGGAGGAAGCAGAGAGGGACTTATAGTTGGATACGTTTTATAGCTCAATACTATAATGGATAAATGCATTTTCAAATGGGATATACAAATAAATAGAGCAATATAGTATGATAACCTCAAGGACACCATGGCATTTAACACAACTGTATAACATGTAGCACGAACTACTAATATTGAATGGTATTGGTTGCTTCCTTCGGATACTCGAAATGAATAATGTTAATTCGCCAAGTAAAGTAGAAATGCAAATTTGTCCCATATTGATTATATTTGTGGAGTACAATGTCCTGGTCAGTGACATTGTCATATTATTTGTCATCTTCTTCCAGAAAGACACAACAAACCTTTCAATCTAAGTGGATACGAGATTGACATTGCAAATAAGGTAGAGTCAACTTCAAGAACAAGACCATTTCTATCCATATCCCCTTCTAATTTTTACATCTAACAGCACTCTCTCCCTGCCTCGTTCCTTGACCTACACACTCCAGTCTCCCTCCCTCTATTTCTCTGTCTATCTCTCCCATCTATCTCCCCCTGTATTTTGATTATACCCTCCTGTACTGATGACTAAATTATGATTGGGTTTAAGGATGGCAGTGCTTTCATCTGGCCGGTGTTGTTCTGCTCTCTCCCTCTCCAACACAAAGGGCCCGCTACCTCTGCTCTGCTCGCCCGCTTTTGAAGAGTAGAGTGGCTGTTGGGTCCCCATGGAAA